AAAGTATGATCACGTATCTACGCGCAATTTCCGATACATACGACACCTTCTGCGCGACCCGCCACGCCGCGTCGCGATTGTTATTGTGTCGATCATGTTACGAGACGAACCTAAACTTTCCTTGGATATGACTCAGCTCGTGCTATCTGCGCAAATTATTTCCACTCTGTAATAACACACGCAATGAAGGCGCGCGCGATAAGCAAGGTAATCGGAGCGATGGTATAAAGGAAGGTAGGAAGAAATCTATGGCATGATGGGTGGCTTGCAAATATTATGTTATATATATTTACATTGTGGGAAAATTTAACACATTTCACTTTCCCAAACCATTCCATTCAAATTTATGTATTAATTTAATATAAGATGAATATGTTAGAGGATGACACAAATATTATATAAAAGAATAAACACAAGAAGATAAGTTAAAAAGTGGAGGTGTATTTTTTTCAATAAAACTAACATTTACGATATGTTAGATTAACACATATTTTATTTATTTATCGTAGAATTGTATTCTAAGACACATTTTTTATGACACAGTTTCATCTTAATCATTTGTAAAATAAATTGTGTTATTTTGACACTAAGAAATGTTTAATATTCGTTTACACAACTGTTTAAATAACGTAATCACATTATGTTAAATACACACTTGAATATATTTAAAATTTTTTTACAAGAACTTAAAGATCATTTTCAACATGAATATGAAATATTTCTCTACTATGTATGTTTAAATGATATATTATCTTATTATTCATTTTAAATAAATTATCCACATATCGATAACTCACATATTTATATATTGTAACGAAAATCTCTTACATTTATTACAATAGTATGATAAATACGTGATACATTAGATGATGATATTAGACGTTATCACATTTTATTTTTTATAATATAAAACTTATCTTTATTTTAATATCCAAATTTATTTTTGTACAATAGCTTATCGCAGTTTACATAGAAGCGAATATAAATCCAGGATGATGATTAGAAAGTTTTCAGTAGTGTATTCCGCGTACGATGAAGGCGAGTGTCCCATGAAACCAACTACAAATTGCCGTGGCAATTTCTATTCTGGATTACATTACCATTCGCACCGTGAACGTGACTTCGCCGTGTCCCGCACTCGCGGCGATTGCTAAACCTCCTCTCCTTCCCTGATGATATATTTCCTTTGCATGAAGAGAGGCAGTGAAAATCTCTTGGTATAGTAAACGGCATGTATATTTGAGCGGTGCGAACGAGACGGCGCGTAAAAAGCGCGCGTGAGAAGTTAATCGGCGCGGGTTGAGAGTTCAACAGGAGAGAAAGTCAACGAACCAATGGCGAGCGGCATTTGATTGACTCTGAATGGCATGTCGCTTTTATTACGTGCAATCGGTCATAATCCGTCTCCGTTCCTCCCGCTCGTCGGCTTGCTCGCAGTCGTCCTACATCACGCCACGACCCGCATACCCGGTGGCATGCTCAAGTATAATACCGAAGCACCACACGTCGTGCGTTTATTCGCGACTACTTGAAGCATCGGAAAATGAAACAAGTGAAATTGTATATCGCTGTCATTCACACACCAAATGATCAGGATTGTCATTCGAGATACGCGCACGAATCCACCAGTGAATAGCGGGAGGGGATACGGGATGGAATATTTATAATAGTGTCGCAAGAAGACGTAACGTTTCGCATGGGAGTTGCGTGATTATAATTCATTCGCGTGCGCCGATGACAAGGAATGTAAACAACTTCTATTATGCTTGAGTGCAAAGCTCCGTGTGCCTCTTTCTCTTCTATTTTTTTTTCTCTACTTAGATAAGCGGCTTTATAGATAAGCAGCGTGTGATGCAACGCGATTTGATATCCGCGCGATTAGATGTATATGGCGTGATGTATTGGCGCGCACGTTACGTTTGCCGAGCACTTTTAACGAGGACTTTGCCGGCTTTTGTGTCACATCGCCCTCGTTACATCTTCTTTTTGTAAGGACGCGACGTGTCGCGCATAAAACGCGCGCCGCGAAGCGATGACGCGAGCATCGAGGTAAACAGAATGTGGGTTGACATTTACTTCGCGTCGCTCGATTAGCATAGTAAACCTTCGCAGGCCTATAATTAGATTCGCGACTTCGCGAAGCTCCTGCACTCGACCTTGTAAAATTCTACCGTCCTGCAAGGATGCGATGTCTTTCTTCTTATGAAAGAGAATTTGATTTCTTTTCGATTTGACAAAAAAATACCTAAAAATATCTATTCTTGAAGGAAAACTATTAACTACCATTTTGCAATGTTTTATCAAAATAGATTAACACCTAGAAAAAATATTGATCAATATTTGTTTGAATAATTCTCAACAAGCATTTACTATAAATGTGAACATATATTTATTTGATATAAGATCGTTAATTTAACTATCTTTTTTATTGAATAAATATTTATTTACTGTAATTGTTTACTTGGTACTATTAAAAAGAATATTTCTTAAGTAATCTCATTTAGTAATTTTTTTAGTGTAGTAAAAACTATTAAAACGTTTGTAAATTAATATGGGAATCTTTTGAGTTGGAAAATTTTTTTAAGGATTGAGCTGCTTCTTATTTATTTAGTAATCAAAAGATAGAATAATATGTTTCTTTAATCCTTTTATGAATAAATTTTTAAGAATCTTGCCGGATATACTTTAATTGCAAGTGAATTTGTGCGTTTGAAATAATCTTTAACTTTATTTACGGAAAAGTAAAGCTGATAAGTTTAGCAAATTATTAACTCTTGGAAAGAAATTTCAACGCGAATTTGGAAGGTATTGCCTGCAACTCGGTGACTGACGTATTTACCGAGATTTCGAATCTCGGGGAAAACAGGAAAACAATATTTACCGTTCTCTTTTGCTTCGTTACTTGCCAGTTACTTGATTACATTAATTTACAACCTTGTAGTCGTTCCAGAAACGAGTTCCTCGCGGAGTTAAATCGACGAACGTTGGCAACGAGCGGAAGCTGTTTGTTTGATCCTCCCGGGGAAATTACTTAGTTACACGTCGAAGTTCGTTCGATAACTTCGCGACGAGTTATTTTCGAGGCCTCTTACGGCGCCATACCGATGGCATTAACGAAGTCAGTCGATCCAGATTCCAGACTGTCTCGCACGACGTTAATTACACGAATCTCGTGCCTTTCTTTCTTACTGATAGTACTGGACATCGCTCCAATTCACTTTTCTCGGACTTCGCTTCTCGTAAACTTCTCGTGTTTTCCACACAAACCTCTCACGTAACTCGATACCTGTCACGAACTCTGCATTCGAATTTCGCAAATGAATAAATTCCATACTTGCCACCATCGCGTTTGTATATCAAGTTTTTAAGAATTACAGAATTGCATTTTTTATTGTTAATCGAACAACTTTTATATGCGTGTATGTATATATACATATATATGTGTATAGAGTGAGGCTTTTGATGTGTTACAAAGTTATGTAATTTATACGTACCATGTTTGAAAAGTAACTGTGTGTTCTCTTTAAATCAATTGATTTATTTTATTATTCTGTATATAAAAATATTAAGGTATGTTTGTAAAAAAATTACTGGTTTACAAAATATTTTATGTACTTTGTTAAAACATACTTTGTTAAAAGAAATATGCCAAATGTAGATATAAAATATTATATATCTCATAAAGTATTAATTTTTTTACCTTGAATATTTTTACACACAAAATAATTAAGAGAATCATATTATGTAAAAATAATATCATTACAGTTGAAAAGGTGGAAGTGACTCTGTGACTTTAAAAAAATCGATTTTTTTTAAAGATATTTATTATTTATTCCTCTTGAAATTATATCACTTTATCTGAACATATTTTTAAAGATAATATCTTTTAAATGCTTTATTTTGCACATTTACATATGTATATAAAAAAATGTCGTGACACTATTTTAATAGCAGCATAAACTCTCGGTCTATGTTATCATGCACAATGTTAATGTGAATCGAAGAAAAAACTCACTCGCGTGAATCGAACGATCTGATGACATGTGGAAAGTTCCCAGTAAGTTATAATGAGCGCTTTATGTTTATCGCGTATCTTCACACGATTATGAGAATTCTTTCGCTGATGCAGAATTTGGAAGAATCACGTGAATGGCACATGTTTATCTCAGGGAGATCACGCAAGTGCGTGAGTTACTGCTAATCGAATCGGCGATCGCATCGTCGGAATGACACTAAAATCGTATTCGTAACGACTTTTTTTTACCGCGCCGTGTATTTCTCAACGAACGTAATAGATAATAATTATTGCATATGCGCATGACACCGCTGCGCACCGTCTGTGTTTGCTCGTTATTTGCCCGACAATTGAATGACGCGCCGTCTGGACTGCGATATCTACATAACAACGGAATATAGCGATAAACATTGACTTTGGAACGTGTATGGAGGACGTGCGAAATGCAGAGTTCATAAATATAAAATTTATATTCAGAATTCTTTCTGTAAACATTGTGAATCACTGTATTTTAAGTTTTATTGAACATCGCAACCATGCTAATTCTGCGCGTTTCATTTCAAAATAAATTATAGATCTAATAGCTTTGATTGATACACACACAATATACACGTATATGACAATGTAATCCACGCAAATATTACATTTTTATTTCATATTTATGATACAGAAAGAAGTCACAATTATAAAATCGTGATCCCTTAATCCGCGCTTTAAATTCTCTAATAGTTGATATTATTAAATTTATCAAAAAAAAAAAAGAATTAATAAGAGCATCGTTGATAGTCGAAGAATAATATTATCATTTTTTTTTTTCGATCAAGATTTGTGTAATGCCTTTCAAATTTTCGGAAAGTAATCTTGTAGACTGTATCATTAAGATAAAATGCGAGAAATGAAGAAAAAACGTTCGTCGCAAATCGTATCTCCGATGAATCGTTAAGCGATAAGCGATGAAAATGATTGGCAGTATTGATTGAAGTAGGTATCTTATGTCCCGCAGAGGAACATGCAGTCGGCCTCGATGGCTGGATGGAGCGCTTTCATGCAGGTACCGCCGCCGAGGACGCACGGGGCGTTGACGGCTCATCCTCCCGCCAGCCACCACGGTCATCCCAGCGGTCCACCGGGCGGATCCGCCACAGCCACCGCCGCCGCCGCGCATCCCGCCGCCGCGCAGCAGCAGCAACGTGAGGAACGGGAGGCGCGGGAACGCGAGCGGGAGCGGGACTTCCGCGAGCGGGAGCAACGAGAACACCTGGCGGTGGCTGAAAGGCATCAACGGCAGGCCGAAGCCAGGGATCACGCCGCGCAGCAAAGGGCCTATTACGCGGCGGCCGCCGCGGCACCGTCGGCTCAACAGGTACATGTACTACGTAATTCCGCGCGATTTCCTCTTTAAATGGCCTTTAAATGAGTGAGGGGAAGTTTGGGTCAACTCCTACATCTGAAAAATATTTGTTAGACCCTCACACAAAGGAACAATTTTGCTGAAATAAAAATTTAGCTAGATACATATAAATAATTTTGTTAAACCATTAAAATAATTATGTAGGACACTCAAAGTAGTTGTTAGAATGTCACGATTTTTTAGAATTGCTCATCATGCTCGAGTTTCCTACATAATTATTTTGATGCTTCGATAAAATTACTTTTGGATCTGTATCTAGCTAAATTTTTTTTACTTGAGTAAAATTATTCCTTTCGTGTGGAATTTTGTTAAATGCGAGAAATATAAGAAATTCCAGTTTTTATATATTACGTATCTCAATACCTTTATTAATTATTTTATTAGAAATAGAAAATTATGTTGAGCATTATGTAATTTGCAGCGATGGATCATTTTATAAAACGTATCACGATGTTTTAGGTTCGACCTTTGAACGTATCCGGAAAAGTAGAGTACCCGCCACCACCGGCGCACTCACGGACGTCAAAGTCATCGTTGCAGGTTGCCGGCCTGCATGAGAAACCGTCGGTGGTTTCGCACAGCTCGTTACCGAAAGCTGAGCCGAACGTGAACTTGTTCAACTATTCGTCGACGTATCAGCCACAGCCATCTTGCACGTCATATCTGCATGATCTCAAGTTAAAGAACGAGATAGGACCGCACAAGTCGCTATCGAACAAAAGCGGATTGGCCGGCGGCCTCGAGAGGGACCATCATGGCAGAGAGGTACTACAAAACCCGCCATCCTTACTCCCGGATTATAAGAGTTCGGTGATTGTGAAAAACGAGGGCAGGGAGCTACCGAAAACACCGGCACCGCAACAACACTCGTCCAGCCCGAAGATAATGCCTTACATGAACGTCCAGTCGGTGGCGCCGCAGCACAAGTCGTCAGCATACGAATACAGAAGTCCAACGCAGAGCCCACATCACCTGCATCCCGCGCATCTGGACGGTCTGCAGGCGAAGAGCATCGCGACGTCCGCGAGTCACCATCGAGGCGGCGGAGGCGGCGGGAGCGGTGGCGGTGGAGCGCCGACGACGACGACGCAACTGCCGAGTCCGCACGGTCATCCGCCGCCACCGCCGCCGGCGCAGCCCGAGCCGCGCCTGCACTCGCACAATCCCCGTCAATCCCCGCACGCCCCACCACAGCATCCGCACCAGCCACCGGCGCCGCCGCATCCATCGCCACCTGAACCGCGCTATCTCAGCAGGCCGGAATCTGCAGGTCTGCCGTACGGCGCGGCCAAATCTACGTATCCGTATCCGCATCCGCATCCGCCCACGGCCTCGTCGACGACGTCGTCGCATTACGCCGCGCCGCCGCCGGCCGGCTCCAAGCCAAAAGTCAGCAGTCCGGCGCCGCCGCACATGTACGGCAAGCCTAACTGCGGTATTACTAATTGCGGCATTATAGCCGGCACGCCGGTCTGCCGTGCCTCCGAAACGCCTGTCGCCGCGCCGATACCGCTGACCTCGAAGGCCGGCAGCTCGCCTTACCAGCAAGTGCCTCATCATCACGGGGCGCCGCCGCCACCGTTGCCGCCACCTGCGCACAGCCGGTCCGTCTACGACAGTCGCTTCCCTGGCTCATTGCCGGGCGCGAAACTGCCGCCACCGACGTTGCATGGCTCGCCGCCTACGGCTGCCTCGGCGCCGCTCTCAAGGCCGATCGCTCATTCCGCGCATCTCAATACCAGCCCACATCAGCAACCCGTTCAAACGTTGCAGCACGCGCAGCCCCAGATCACCACGGCCTTCCAGACGCAACCGCTCGATCTCGGTGTCGAGAGGTCGGGCTCACCGAAGAGGAAAGCACCTACGCCATTGTTATGCGACAATACCAGCGGCCAGCCGGTGTCGTTGGAAGTTTGTAAGAAGCGAAGGACCGAGGAACCACAACCATTATCCTTACAATCTGTTGGTCCCCCTGTTCTATCCAGGGTGAGCGAGCCCAGTCCGCTTATCGCTTCAGCCGCTACGTCTATCACTACAGTTGTCAACACTGCAGCATTGCTAGCGCAGCCAAACAATCAGGTAACGCAAGAGCAGCGCACAGTGACAGCGGTAAGTCCGGCTCCGGGTAATGCCAGCGGTGACGGTTCCGTACGACCCGCTAGCACCGGCAGCGTATGCTCGTTAAATCCAACGTCAGTGAGCGCGGCACCAAGTCCGGCGCCCATTCCTAGCCCGGCACCGTCCACAGCACCCAGCCCAGCGCCCAGTGCGCCCGGCACGCCCGCCAAGACAAACCCCAGCAACACGGACAGTGAAAAATGTAACAGTCCGGCACCGAGACCTCCTAGCAGCACCAACTATCCAGTACATAAATTGAAAAAGGCGTGGTTGCAAAGACACTCGAGATGCGAAGACGGCACCGAGAACACTATCAGTATGGCCGGCAGCATTACGTTACCTCTCAACATCTCTCGTGAGACAACGTCCTCGAATAGTAAGAACCGCGAAAATGCGCCGACTACTTGTTTGCCTAGTGCGGTTAATTCGATCCACAATATCGGTAGCATGGCAGTAAACAGCATCAACAAGAGCAAAGTTACTGGCAGGAGTGGCCGAAAACCGGCGAACAAAGAGTCGCTGAACGGTCATGCCACTGATACCAGCAAGACTCCACAAGAGGACTCGTCTAGCAGCGACCCGGAGAGGAAGTCGCCGCCTAAACGGAAGCCACCCAAGGTATCTATTTATACAGATCGTTTACAGTAGCTCCTGTTTATCGCTAGAAGTCATTATTTGAATTTGGAGTGCGTATGCTGTGCTGGTAGTTTAGTTACTCGCTTGTGCCCAATAACCTTTAACTTTTCCTTGTTGAATAATATGATGATTTTATGATAAATTGTATAAATTGTATAAATTGTATAAAAATATTATTTTGTAATAATAACAAGAGGAATGAAGACTAATCATTAAATCCAGTAATTATTAGATTTTATTTTCAATTGAAATTCTTAATGTCTTAGAAATATCTACAGTATTATATGTATAATTAAATATTTGTTGGTTTTGCAAAGTGTGAATTTAAAATTATGGTCTTTAATGATATATTACTTAACGACTCTTATAGCAAAATATTAATTATTGATTTATATTTTCTTAAAATTGTAGACTGTATTTTACATACAAACATTTTTTAATGTTTTGATATCATATTTTTTTATCTTATAGTCAGTATTTATAAATGATTATTTCCATAAATTATGAGCATTAAGTTTAGTAAAAACTTTAACATTAATAACGTGCTTAATTATATATAT